CCCTCAACCCATTGCTCCAACCATTCTTTCAGTTTCTGGACAATCCAGGCTCCCCTTACCCATACGTCCAGGCTCTTGCAAGGGTTGTTGCCTTTTTCACACAGCATCTACCTCACACAACTGTCCATCAAATCCACTTAATTAAAACATTTTTCGAGTCATCCTTTCAAACCAAAGCCTTCTGAGGGCTCCCTGTTTTGGGTAGTACAATCCTCTCTCATGGATTCCCTTGGTGGACTGTGTGTCCCTTCATCGTAGTATTGATTACAGACTGACAGCAACCTGAGAACAGGACTGTGTCTTCCGTGTGTGGCCTCATGGCTCAGCACTTTGCCTGGAACCATTAAGAGTATATACTAAGAATTAGTTGAAGGAATAAATGAATAATCAACAAGCATCACTGTCAAATCTGCAATGCTGCAAAGAACAGGGTCCAGCACAAGTAACACCCTTTTTTTATTACAAAATCATAAGCATGTAATACTGTAACATAATATCACACTCAAGCACACCATATGACATTTTATGTGAAATGTTCAGATTAAAACTATAAATTATTACACCCATATTATCACCCTACCAACCACACTCAAGCAGGTGTTACCTCTACCTGTATATAATGTTTTAACAGGTTTTTTCTTTTCTTTTAATCATTGTTTCCTTGTAATCAACAAACTTGTAATTGTGTGTCGTTGCCATCCCCCTAGTACAATTCAGGAAAAGAATTCTCCCCAGATTTGGGGGGGAAAGGGGTTTGTGGTCACTTTCAAGCGATGATAAGTGTGACATTAATATAAAGTAACACAAAGCTTTTGTGACAATGGGCGCCTCTGACTCAAGAATTATAAAATTATAAAATGAGTTGCAGAAATAAGAGCAAAGGATTGTCCTCTGTTCTGTCCTCTTACCCCCTCTAGTGTCGAGAACTCTAAGTAAAGAAATGGAGACCACTGGGTCTCAGGCTGCCTCTCTGTCTCATTCACCTACTTCAAAAAATACCATTGGGATTCCTTCCCGTCGCCGACTCCAGGAGAGCAGGCCCGACTCCTGTGAGTGGTCCAGGCTGCATCTGTTCTCCTTGTAGTCACTGTGGTGGAGGGCTTTTGGCCATTTATGCAATTGTGTCCAACCCGAGTCCCCAAACTTCCAGGCATCGGTGGAAAGAGTATTGGGGTCCTTAAAAAGGTTCTAAAATTTCAAAATGTCTAAAGAAATTGTACCGTCACTGGGGATAACACTGGAAACCACCCAACAAGTTGGCGAGTGTCTTTGCCTCCCGCGGGAATGTGTCAGCGTGGCGTGGGGGCGGCACTGCTTATCTCCCACCCACTCGCTGTCCTGAACTAATGGAATGTAGTAAAATAAATAATGGCTTCCTACATGTGGTTGATAAAGAGTGTAGTATATGTTCAAATTTGGTGCTCATGTGGGTAAAAAATAATAATAAAAGTGGTCCTTCACAGTGAAAAATCCGGGACCCACTTCTCTGCTGCCCTACTGCCCTCTGAGGTATGGATAAACGAGGCTGCTTTCGGAGAGGCAGCATTTCTCAGGGCCAGGAGAAATGGACATTGGAGGAGAGGTGATTCATTGGCCTGCAGCAGTGAAAGCCAAATAGTTATTTCGTGGAAAAGCATCCACACTGGCTTTTATCGCTTTTGGCTCAAAAACTTTTGAAGTCTCCTGAGAGTCTACTCTACAAAGCCCAAATTTGTTGGTCTTCTCTATGTTTCTTTTCTTTTCTTTTCTTTTTTTTGGTTCTCTGTTCTCCAATTCCACCCAATCTTCCAAATAACTCCTGTGTCCCATTCTGTCAACTCTCCTCATTAAACTATGTGACTATATTTTGAAAACTTACTCATTCGCCCAGCACATACTTATCACAGGTTCATTATGGGCCAGGCATTGTGCTAGGTGCTGGAGAAAACAGTGAGAGATGTGTTCTCTACCACCATGAAGGATACAAACAAGGGGCACAGAGACATGGGAAGGTAGGGTTGCTATAAGAGTCCATAACAAAAACACAAAATTTACATGTGAGGAGCAAAGACCTCCTAAAGAAGTGGCATTTAGTCTGAGATCTGAAGGACAGGAAGGAATTAACCAGGTAAAAACTCCAGGTTGAGAGAACACCATATGCAAAGGCCCTGAAGTGGGAAAGAGCACAGAGGTTATTAAACCATCCTTACTAACTCCATCCTCTCTCTTAGATTCTGCTCTACAAAATCCACCTAACAAAAAATCCTTAAAAAGAGAGCTCAAACTCTACCCTTTATTGATAACCATGACCAAAATGTAACATTCTCAACTGAACCAAAGTTTTCATTTTCTGTAACCGTTATATGACACTAATCTATTACTGTCTTGGGTGGAAGCTATAGGTATATTTGTTCTGTTCTCTCAATATATAACAAGTTCTTGAAGAGCAGAAATCTTTGCATATAGGAAGAAATCAACTAGTTATTGGACTGAGTTATGTTTCTTGACGTTCCTCATATTAACCTTAAACCTATCTGGCACTCTGTGAGTAAAATTGAAAGGATGAAAAAAAAAATGTGAAGTCCAGAGTAGGGCAATGATTGTGAAATACTAGGAAGCGTCTGAGATCCTACCCTATTTGCAGTTTTACAAGTTAGCCATCACAGTTGCATGGATGCTGGCAGAAGACATGAGGGTCCTTGGCCAGAGACAAAGGACATAATTACTCATGGTACAGCGAGCTGCATGAGCATCAGCACATTTGTGTCAGTTCCTTGGTCCCAAGTCTCACAGGGGTGATGCAGATAAGCCCAGGCATGTACCTGAGTGTGCTGTGGATTGCATTACAGAGAGGAACCCTGAAAACTCAAATCTTTTATAATAGGCAGCAAGCATGAGGTCTTTGGCTTCAGAGGCAGACACTATAATCCCCAAGGCTGTTCATTATACAAACTTCCTTAAAAGAGAGTCCATAACAAAAGGCAGAAAGGGCCTCTATATGTGAGGTATGGCAGACCCATGGAGAACCCTCTCCCAACATTGAGCATGGTCCACAGGCATTATTAATAAAAATAGTTGTTTATTGGGTGTTTATATATGCCATACACTGTGCTAAGCATTTTATTAGCTCCTTCATTCCTCTTAACACATTTACAAAAATATTAACAAATCCATAGGAAAATAGTTTTAGACTTGCAGCATGCAAATAAATGATAGCAACCATGGAGATTTTAGAAACACACAGAAGCATTTGAGCGGTCTCAGGGAGCCGCTAATCTATTAGCTCCACTCACTCCATCTGCTCTTCCTGCTGCTGCCTCTCTGTGCTTGTCCTGCCCACTGGGCAGAATATGGCTGTCCCAGCCCTGAGCTTACTTGCTGCAGTTCCAGCCAGGCTCAGAAAATGATTAAGAATCCCTGAATCCAATTGCCAGTTCTACAAAAAAGAACATGATTGGTCCAGCTTTGGTCACATGACTAATCAACACTGTTGGATTTGTATTGGGGAGAGAGTTTTACAGTAATGTGAAGAATAACCAGTATTAATAGATAAAGAGCTATACTTTTTTATTATAATTACTTAATTTAAGGTAAGTAGAAATATTGTGGTCCCACTTCTAGGCTGTATCTTCCAATGGCTATGAACTCCTCCAGAGCAGGGATCCTATCATTTAACAGAATTATAATCATACTGGAGATACACAGTTGACCCTTGAACAATGCTGGCTTGAACTGTCCCAGTCCACTTACACATAGATTTTTTTTTTTTCAACAAATAGAATAGCTCCGTGAAATGTGGGTTTCACATCTGCAGCTTCAACCAACCTTGGACAGAAAGTAGTATTTTTCTATTCACAGTCACAAATGGAAAATACCTTTTGTGGTCCCCAGTTGGTTGATGGGGTTCCCTGTGGATGGGAAGGATCTACTGTAGAGTCTAAAGTTATATATGCATTTTCAACTAGCCAGGGTAAGCACTCCTAACCCCGCCCTATTGTTCAAGGGTCAACTATATGTGTGTGCATGAATTTTCTTGTTGCTAAGATTTAAAACAAAAATACTTAATGGTTGCATATTATTCCAACTTAGAACATTTCTGCAAGTTACTGAATCACTCTGAATATTTAGATTATTTCCAATTTTTCATTATTATAAATAATTCTGCAAGGGCTAGAAGTCTTAAAAGTCTAAGCTACAAATGTGATTAATTTTTCTTAGGATAGATTCTTAGAAGTGAAACTTGGCTTTTCACTTTTTGGAGTTTTCATATAAATTATTAAATTGGCTTTCCAAATATGTTGTACTCATTTACACTCCTGCCAGCAGCATGAGTTGCCCTAATTGCATATTTGATAGCATTAATAATCATAACTTTTAAAAATCTTTAATGGTTTTCCTTAACTGGTGAGACTGACCTGTCCTTTCTTACTTATTTTCAATTCTTAAATAGCCATTTTTATTTCCTCTCCATCAATGATTTGTTAAAGCCCTTGCTGGCGGGAATGAAGTGTTGTTCATTTAACGCGCCTCACTGGTGAGAATGTTTGTTATGTAGCTGATGTTCCCAGAGCTTTGAAAACAAATAGGTGGCAAAACCTAGTGGTAACTGTTTAGACCCTTGTGAGAACAATCAAGCCACTAAAAACTAACAATTGGATACCATTTGAAGACCTACAAAATATCTATTAGAACGCAACTACTATGTGTTATTTTCAGCATTTTACCATGTGGAGCAAAGTCTGGAGTAACTGAGGTCTGTAAGGGATAAGTATAATGGTAATATCAGTTCTACCCTAGAAGCAGAGGAACACAGTTTCCCTGAAGAGGCACTAAGGCGAAGTTCCTCTTCCTGTGCACTAGAGGGCGAAGCTGCACGTAAAGGCAGCAAGATGAGGCATTCTCTGGACTACACTCCCCAGAAGGTTTCTAAGTGACACGCTCCCCGAGAATGCTCAGCAGCGGAGTACTTCAGGTCCCAGATTGCTCTGCGGCTAAATGTGACTCCTTGTCCTACCGACCCAAACGTGCAATGGTCGCTGGCAATCCAGGGTTACTCTGCTGTTGAACTGTACCTCATTGCCAGGAAGCTGGCGCCGGAAGTTTCAAAGATCCCGCTTCCTAAGGGTGGTAACGGCGTGCTGGGGTTGGGAAGGGGAGGTGGGCGGAGCGGCTCCGCTCTGAACCATGCTACTGAATTGCGGGTCCGTGTGTAAAGAGGCCCAGCTTTGGGGAAGCGCTGGTCAAGCAGGAGCTGGGACGTGTTTATGACAGATCAAAAACTACATTTCCCAGCATCCTCCCGGCGACAGAACTACCTTGCCCGAAAGCCTGAGCGTGATTCATTCAGCTTTTGGCTTCCTCCCTCCAACCCGGAAACTGAGGATATGTGGAGTCGCAGTGTCTGGCGGCTCCTGCTATCTGAAAGCAGCGGGGGGCGTCAGGTTTCAACCCCCCGCGAGCGTTTCTCGCGGGCACTGCGGAGAGGTGAGAAAAGGCGTCTGTCACCGCTGTCTGAGTGCTTTCTAGAGAGACGACGGTCGTGCCTGCTACGGCGATTGGGAGGGGAGGGTGCCACGCCCTCCCGCCCAGCCCACTCCTGGCCCCGGAGACCCCGCTGCCCGTTGGCCGCGGAGGGCAAGGACTGCGAGGAGGACTGCCTTTCTCTTCTGAGAGCGAGCCTTTGCCGGCCTAGGGTTCCAGCCGGGCTTCTTTCTGAGCTCCAATTCCCTTGTTGGTGTCAAATGGAGCCAATAATCCCGGGGATTTGAGGAGGAGTGATTTTTTTCGTGGCCTTTTCAAATTTACGCTTGGTTATTTAGGTGCTGGCCTCGAGCCCAGGTTTTTCATACAATGCATTGCACACCAGGTCCGCTTTATTCTCGCTGTGATTTTCAGTATCCTGCAATCACGTAGTAGCCATTCACAAACAGAACGTGAATGCTGGAACCTACAGGTTTTGGACTAGTTGGCCATCCCTGTTTACGGTGTGACCTGAAGGACATCTGCTTTTATTCTGACAGACGTTTTCAGATTTCCCCTCCCGCCCCCAATTTTTAAACTCTTTTAAGACTGTCCACAGAGTGGGCACTTGGTACTAATATTAGCATTCTCTGTTCACCTTGAATCTTCAGCACCAAGTGAAATGACCCAACCAGTACCCACTGTATTTTGTGCTGTTTTGCTCATTGCTTCGTTTCCTCACACAGTTGTTCATGTCCCATACGAAGACTATTTAGCTGTCAGGGCCCTTTCACGTCTTCGTGTATATATTTAGGTGGTTAGCATGCATACACATTAGGTGGCCTTTACAAAAAGGAGGTAGCATCTTTTGGGAGGGGGGAACCCTGGAAAATAACTCCAATCTCAATCCTATGTGAACTCTTAGAAGTATAGTTTGTTTACATATTCAAATGAAACAATAGTAAACATTTTCAGAGAATGAACTTTTAAGTATGTATAATACTGGAAAGTATATCACCATAAGTAAACGATAATGTTTTCAGTATATATGTTGTTACTACTCTTGAATCTGACTCGTTGAAGAAAACTTGAGTCCCTCGACTCTTTTTCATCATTTGAATTGGGTTTATGTTTAAATTTTCTTAAAAAATAAAAATTGCCTACTAGTCGATAAAGTCAATGAAAACATGTTATGTCTGGTTTTGCTCATTATCCCTGGTGCCTTAAAAATGGAGAATTTATTGTGGCTCAGTAGGCTGGGCGTCCTCCAGCAAAGCGAAAGGCTGCCTGTTCAATTGGTTTGATTACAGGTTAGGGCACATGGCCAGGGTTGCAGGTTGGGTCTCTGGTGGAGGCACGTACAAGAGGCAACCAATTGATGTTCTCTCTCACGTTGATGTTTCTCTCCCGCTTTGTCTCTCTCCCTTGCCCTCTAAAAATAAATTTTTTTTTTTTTTAACCAGGGAATTTATTGAAGCAGGACATATATTTTAAAAATGTGAAACTTTTCCTAGGAGTTTATGTTAAAGTAAATACTCCAGCTCTTAAAATAAAATTGATTCAAAAATAAAATACTGTAATCCAACTATTTGCCAGCATTGTTCTAGGTAGTAAAGATACAGTAATGAAAAACAGAGTCAGGGCCTCAATGGAGCTTATGTTCTGGTTGAGAGAGACAAAACAGTAAACAAGATAATTTCAGCTTAGAACTGTGGAAAATAAACTGAACATGTAAGAGTGAGTACAGAAAACTACTTTGCATGAGGATATAGGTATAAAAATGTCTCATAGGTGTATAAAAAGACTTCTGAGGACTGAGGAAAGCTGGGCAGTTTGTTCTCCAGTAATTAGCGAAGTGGCAGCATTATTCAGAGTACCTGATTTTAAACTGACTTAACAAAACATTTTTGAATACTAAAAGAAGGGACATACTTATTGAATGTTCGCTATGCCAAATAATGTTGACACTTTTGGATAAAATGGGCTCAGAAGAGTCAATTGTCTTGCCTGAAATTAGAGAATTTCTAAGTCAGAGAGCTGGAACTGTATTATAAATAGATGGGGAAAATGCTTTAGAAGCTAAAGTGTGAGGCTTCCATGTGTTACTAAAAGAAATAAAAATAATTGTCTTCTCTCTTCAGACTTCTTCACCACCACAACCAAGGAAGAATATGATACAAGGCGAGTGGACATAACTCCTTCAGAACAAAGAAAATTAACTTTTGATACCCATGCATTGGTTCAGGACTTGGAAACTCATGGTGAGAAACATGGGTATCTTTTGAAAGAATTAACACCACTCACAATAAATTACCTAGTCAAGACAGTATCACTATTAGGAACAATTAAGAGTCACTAAGTATAAGTGCCATCAATACAATGGAATATTTTAGTTATAAAAATGGTATTACTTTAATAAAATATGAAAAATTATCAAGGGATGTTAAGTGAAAAATACATTATGTAAAATTACATATGATGTGTAGAATGATTCCAGTTATGTGTAAAAAAAAACAAACACCCACCTGTAGCTTGCAGGCTGGCCCTGAAGTCCATGTGAAGTACAAGGACAATGTTTAAGAAGAGCAAAAAAAAAAAAAAAAAAAAAAATCAAAGAACAAGCACAAGTGACCAGGTATCAAAACAGTTTTTTAAGTTATGTGATAGCACATAGAAAAGTTGATTATAAAATGGGATTCAGACACACACACACATAGGGGTTTGGCAAGCAAATTTAATGAAGGCATTACAAATTAGGAAAAGGAAGGACTGTTTAATAGATGAGTTATAATAACTGACTAGCTCGCCATTGGAGGAAATATAATATATATGATTCCCCTTACTGAAAAATAAATTCTAGGTTGACTAAAAGCCAAATGTAAAAAAAAAAAAAAGAAAACCTATTTAAAAAATACTAGAATATAGAATATTTTTAGGAGAAGCAAGACATAAAACTCAAAAGCAATGAAAGGAAAGACAGATCTGACTATAGAAGTATTTAAATTTATATCTCAAATGTTATCATCCATAAAGTTAAAATTGTTAGCAACACATGAAAATGAACCTGTTGCTTTAAAATTCAAACAGTTCATATGAATAAGAAAAAACTAAGCAATTTTACAGGAAAAGGACAAAAGCTACAAAGAGCTCACAGAAATAAACATCAATAACCAATAAATATATGTACAGATGCTTGACCAAGGAAATGCAAATTTTAAGTACAAATTAACAATGTAATACCGTTTCTATGACAATTACATGTTCAAAAATTTAAAAAGACTAATAATTCCCAGTAATGATGTAGATTGGGGAAATGGATCAGTGGTAATCAAAATTGTAGAGTGTTTTAGAAAGTAATTTTGAATAATCTGTCAAATTTTTAATTGTAAACATTTTTTTAAAGTATTACAATTTATAGGGAAAGTTATTCAGCTGTCTATTCTGATAAAAATGTACATTTTTTAAAAAACATAAATGCGTATTTGCTGCCTACAGGATTTGACAAAGCACAGGCAGAAACGATTGTATCAGCATTAACCACTTTATCAAATGTCAGCTTGGATACTATCTATAAGGAAATGGTCACTCAAGCTCAACAGGTAATATTTTCATTTTTATCACTTAACTGCATCTCTTATCTTACCTACTGACCTCCCAGACACACCTGCATTTTCCTGATTGCACTCTCTGACGGGATCCAAAAAAAAATCCCTTTAGTAAAAAAGTCAGAATCTAGAGAGATTAAGGAGTTAGAATAGTCATAACAATTATGGTAACACACAGAATGAAATTTTGTCAATTCTTTCATTGTAAGATAATTGTATTATTTGAACCATGAAATGGTGGTAGATTATTAGTGAAATAACTTTTCCCTGTTCAAAGTCCTCCACAGTAGAAGAACTAACCTATATATATATATATATTTTATTGCAATCATGTGTATATTCTGCTTAATTTTCACAAACTTAGAAGTCTGGATGGGACTTACATAGCTGGGCATGACTTCATAAATCATCTGGCTAAGATGTTTTAATTCGGATACACAAGTCCTTTAAGTAAAATAAATGCCATTTACTAAGAACTTAGGATGTGAGAGGCATGATGTTGGTTACTTCTCACATATTATTTAACCCCTCTAACAACCTTAAAATGTATGTAGAATTATTCTCCTTTGCCACTGAAGAGGTGATTAGAGAGGCTGAGTAATTTGCAAGAGCTGCCATTGTGGTGCTATGGACAAAAGCAACGATTTTCCATAAAGGATAGAATAAGATCAGTGGGCTTAACTGTGGAATAATTAATAGTTTGTCATCATGACTTAATTCACTATGTTTAAGAATCTTTTCTTATAATTATATTTTTTAAGTTTTAATTTTTTCAAATATAAGCTTCATTTCTTAAATAAATATTTCACAGCAGAGAGAAATCAGGGGTTCTTACGTAAAATTAGAAGCTCTTGCATAAAATTTCATTATATTACAGGTCATGAATCAAAAGCTTTTTGAAGTCTTTTAATGATAATTTCCAATTAGACATTTAGAATTAAAAACATTCAGCTCTTGGATTTAACATACCTACACATTCGTGTGTGCATTATTATAGCTTAATTTATTCAGAATCATAACAGATTACTAATCCACTAAAGAAAAAGCCAGTCATTTAATTCTCCCAAAGCTCTGAGCTATCCTGAAACAGCTAATTGAGTTACTGGTATTTTAAATAAGGTAATATATTCTTAAATCAGATTTTTAAGTTTACCTATTATATATTCAGTGGTTTATATTACCTATTATATAATACTGTGGTTTGAGAAATATTTATGCTGCCAAGGCTGTTTAGTTATATATTCAAAATGTAGGATTGGATGTAGAAATATTACTACTAAACTTTTTATTTTTTTTTATTACTAGTGTGTGAAATCAAAATCCTATTCCACCCTGGAGCCTAATCCCCTTGCTGGCCCCACCTGTAGGATAAAACAACACACAAAAACTACATGAAAGATGGGGCTGGGACCCAGGGCTCTGAGGCAAACAAGCATCATGCTTGATCACTTCAGGAAGGGCCATACTACTAACTCAAGTCTGCTCAATCTGAAAATACAATTATAATCTGAATTTATTTATAATCTGAATTATAGTCATATTCTCTGGTGCCTGGCTCCACAATAGTTACAGTGATCACACTTTCAGTAGATTTGACTACTAAATACTGGATTATACTTTTCCATTTAAAGTTTTTGAAGATGGACACCTGTGCTGTTTTGTATGTCTTTTTCAGTCACAAACTGTATTGCGAGGAGGACAGGGAGAAGAGGAAGCTATTAGGGTCATAGTACAATTCCTTACCTCAGGTTCAGACTCAAGAATTCTGTAATTATGTTTTCAACTATTCTCTATATAGTCTCAGCAATGAAAATCTTATTAAATATTTAAAGATAACATATTTAATGTTTTAGAACTCTGTCATAATGATGTTTTGGGGCAATAGGACTAAAACAGCACATAAAGCCACTTCTACATAACTTCCTAACTAATTTTCATGAATATTCAAACAGAACTGCATAAAAGAAAATTAACCCCATCCCCAATAATACAGATGAGGGTTAGGGAAAACATAAGACTCAGAGATGTCTGTAGTACAAAGTAAAAAAAAAAATGATTTTTATGACAGGATTAATATTTAAGGCAAAACTTCTCCATATCATTGCAGTTACACTGTCTTGCTTCAGCCATTTACATCCGTCTCTGGTTAATAGTAATAGCCAACATTCCTTGAGTGCTGTATGCCAAATATTATTTTAAGCATTTCATATGGACTATCTCATTTAATTCTCCCAACAGCTCTTTAAGGTGTAGTTACTGTTATTTTCTCCATTTTACTAATGAGAAGGTCAAAGAAGTTAACTAGCCCAAAGTCTCACAGTAAATGGGAGCATTTGGATTCAAAGCCAGATCTCCTGACTCCAGAACTCACATTTTTAACTTCTACTCCATATGACTGGGCCACATGGGAGTTCTTATTGGATAGTGTGTGCATTCCAAATCCTTTGAAGACTGAGTCATTTCTTTGTCATGCATCTGGAACTGTTATAGCCTCTGTTTTCTAGAAGTCAAGTAAGTTTTGCAATAGTCTTTCTTGCCGATAATGGTCAGTAAAGGACTATAACCCCAACAACGCACTCCTGGCCACAAACTGTGACCAAAAACAAATGGGAGTTCCACTAGTGATCCTGTTTTTATTTGGGTTGTTTGTTTATACACCCTGTTAGAGAGGGTATTTTGATGGATACATCCTTATTTGCTTTTTCTTTTAGTAAAGAGGGAGAAATGATGAATCAATAAGCTACCTAAGTTTAAGAAGTTTAGTGTTACCCTGGCCAGGTGGCTCAGTTGGTTAGAGCACCATCCCAATATGACAAAGCTGCAGTTTTGATCCCTGGTCAAACCATGTACAGGAATCAACAAATGAATGGATAAATAAGTGGACCAACAAGTCAGTGTTTCTTTCTCTCTCTCTCCCTCCTCCCCTATTCCCCCTCCCCTTCCTCTTTCTCTCTAAAATCAATTTTTTAAAAGTTTAGTGTTACATTTTTATTTTCTTTCTAAGTCTGCCTTATATCATTTCTACAAAAATATCCTTCCGTAGCAAAGCAAAAGCTTATAAATCTATCAGATAGGAGCCACCTTTTCTTTCACATATTCTTTGTAATACCAAATATATGAAAGTTACCTATATTAATTTACTCATAATGTAGCCACCTGGCATGGGCAAACTTATTTGGATAAAATACAAATTGGCTTAAAGGTTCAACAATAATTAACTATATAATAGATGAAAATGTTTTTCTCCCCTTTTTCATTTTTATGTTGCTCGCTTTTACGGCTTTCAGCCAAGAGAGACAGTACTGAAATGTCATTTAAAAACACTAATTAGCCCTTACTGGAGTAGCTTAGTGGGTTGGGAGTCATCCCACAAAGCGAAAGGTTGCCTGTTTGATTCTCAGTCAGGACACATGCCTGGGATGCACGTTCGGTCCCCTGGTCCATGCGCATGCAAGACACAACCTATTAATGTTTCTCGCCTTTCTCCATCCCTTCCCTTCTCTCTAAATATAAACTATTTTTTTAAGAAAAACACTAATTATGTTATGCTGACAAGGGGTAGCTATTTAAACCATACTTCTACCTATTTTGTTTTACTACTTGACTTCTGAGTCTTAGCCTGTCCCCTGGAATTTTCCGGTGGTAGAAAATCCCTCAAAATTAAAACAATAAAAGATAACCCTTTCTGTGCAAGCATTTTAAAAAACATTTTTTGAGGAACTCTTAGATATTAAGTAAACCTTTTATTGGGATTCTTTTATAAATGTTTCTAGATATTTATTTCTCTTCACTGGGAAATAATATTTCTTCCTTGAATCTTCTGTTCCTTTTAATTTTGATATTTCAGATATGTAGGTTTCATATATTCTAAGGTTTGTTTTTGTTTGTTTGTTAACTTAGCCAAGTGTCATTGTTATCTTGTAGCATAAGATACTCGATAAGTTTCATGAAAACAATTCCATGTAAGGGGATGACATTCCACAGATCACTGGGTGATTTTGTTTTGTTTTCTAGGAAATAACAGTACAACAGCTAATGGCTCATTTGGACTCCATCAAGAAAGATATGGTCATCCTAGAGAAAAGTGAATTTGCAAATCTGAGAGCAGAGAATGAGGTGACAAAAACTTCAGCTTATTTCCAGTAAAATAACATTTCACAAGCCGTCTACTTGGTGAATAATAGGACCAAATAACAAGTTTATATGGTTATTAAATAATTATTTACAAGTTCTTAGGTAAAAATATGCTATACCTTTAACCATACCTAATCTTTCTATGTATAAAGCATAGTTTCTTGCATAACTACAGAATAAGTTGTATCTTATGTGTATAAAAATCACATAAATATTTGAGCTCTGTATATTATATACAATTTTAGCATACTTCATAGTTCAAGGAAAGTAATGTGACATTTTCAATTTTCTTTGATTCTGCACTAATCAGTCATGTAGGAGAAAAATATGTTTTTGTAATTCATCCGGAATTTTGTTATCCTACAGCTTAATTATTTTTAAATTTAGAATACCGATCATTTTAAAAAGTAGAATACTAAAACAAATACATTTTCTAATGTTTTTTAAAAATTATTTTCTGAATATGATGAACTATTCTTTTTTGTGTTTATTCTTAATCAAATCCTGTATTAGAAATCCATATATCATCTAATTTTTGCTAACCTAGGGTTTCAGATTTTATGAAAACAAATTATAATATGGACTTTTAGTTTAATGCCAATTGTATGTGATCTTTCTTGTATCTAGAAAATGAAAATTGAATTAGAACAAGTTAAGCAACAATTGATAGTAAGTGAAACTTTTCCTCCCATTTAAGAATATTTTATCAATTTCATAGTATTCATTACAAGATCACTTTTTAAAAATTTCTTTTTCTTTAAAGAATGAAACCAGTCAAATCAGAGCAGATAATAAACTGGATATCAACCTAGAAAGGAGCAGAGTAACAGATATGGTAATGTGCTTTTAAATGTACTTTGTTGATTACTTACTGCTTTTTAATCCCTTTTCATCTTTTTTGTTAACCTCCTGATGCATGATATCCTTTAGTTTACAGATCAAGAAAAGAAACTTATGGAAGCAACCACAGAATTTACCAAAAAGGTAAGCTAATATATAAAAATGTCTCTTGTATAGCTCTCGTGCCTTGTGTAACTGCTTTTATGTGTATCATTTTATAACTTTGGACTTTAAACAGCTAGCCCTATAGAATCCATGATTTTCTCAAAGCTGTCACAGTTTAACCAGCACTGGGAAAGCTGCCACCAAGTGGTGATAGCACCTGGACGTGACCTCTGAATCAGAATCAAGCTCTCCAGGTAGCATACTTTCTTTTTAGCTAAATTATTTTTATATATTAAAAAAAAACTATTTTTAAAAAGGATTCACAATGAGTATGTGAGTGCCCAGATTAATTATCTTTAAATTTTAAAATGATAATATTTAATGAATGCTTATTATATGTCAGATACTGTTCTACTTGCTTTACTTCTGTCTGTTAATTTCTTTAACCCTTATTATCAGCCTCTGTGAGGCAGGCAGTCTGTATTCCTATTTTACCAATTTAAAAAATGAGGCACAGGGTCATTAAGGTCACACAGCTAATAAGTGGTAGAGCTGGGCTATGAACCTGGATTTTAAACCCTATACTCATTACTACTGGCTACCTTCTCAGTAATCCTAAACTGTCATCATTAATCTCTGTGGCTTGGGTAAAATCCAGCTTTCTGGCTTAGCCTAAGTTAAAAGCCATTTGGTCTACATTCTGACAGAAGAGACAGCACTGTTTCTTGCTTCTAATTTAATAATTTAGAAGGTCTGATTTGTCCTTCTTAGCATCCTATTCTCTTCTTTTTCTTTTTGACCAGATAAAGGAGATTAAGAAATTTTAAAATTGTCTCCCAGCTCATTTCTGAGCTCTAAGTACCATTTTCTCTCTCTTCCTATTTCTTACCTCCTATACACAAAGCATTCAGCGTTGCCCAAAAAACATTTCTGCCATTTCCTTTAATGCTGGTGCCAGTTCACATAATAAACCTGGTTAGGTTTTTTGGGGGGTTTTTTGGTTTCTTTTTTTCAAATATAGTTGAATTTTTAACTATCTTATCCTAAGGACTTTTTACACACAAAGTGATAGTTCAGTGACTAAAATTTTTTCTTCTTAGTTTATCCTCTTATGTTTAAGTCTCAAATACCTTATTATGAGTCTTTTTAATAGAATGTGCCCAGGATGTGATAATCCTAATAAATGGTCTCCAAATATTAAAGTAAAAGGAATATTTTTTGTCAGTTTGTAATGTTTATATAATTTTTTTTTAAACATCACACTGCTTTTACTGTGCTCCCACAATTAGGACTTTTGTAATGCACAGTTCACCCATAAATAAGGGTCTCTAATGTAAATATTTTTGCCAATAATATACAAGGACAAAACTTAATTGTCTTTATTCTTATTTGCTACAGGATACCAAAACCAGAAGTATTATCTCAGAGACCAGTAATAAAATTGACACTGAAATTGCTTCTTTAAAAACACTAATGGAATCCAACAAGCTTGAGACAATTCGTTATCTTGCAGGTAAGGCTGTCAGAGACAGGAATTATCTTTTGACTTTCAGACCTGTCAGCTCCTACCAAGGTGACCCTGGGCAGCACAGAAGGAAAAATGGAGGAGCTACCACAGGTTTCCTCTATTGCTTGGTCCCTGCAGTGCTTGAAAAATCTGTTTGAAAGGCAGTAAGTTGAGGATATAAGTTTAACAAGCAACTCTGCAACTTACTAAGAGGAAAAAACATGTGATTATCAAAGAAATATATAAACACAAATACAAAATGATGTGAAGATAAGCAGGTATTCCACAATTTTTAAGAAATGTTATTTTTATTGGCTGTGCTCTTCCATCAGTATTTGAGTGGACTTAAGCGGAAGCATATCTAAAATATATGTAGGCCATTAACACTCATAGCAAGCAGCCCTGTCCAGGTGGTTTAGTTGGTGGGAGTGTCGTCCCATCCACCAAAAGGCTGCAGATTCAATTCCCAGTCAGGGCACATGCCTAGGTTGCAGTGCCACCCCAGCTAGCTTGTATATAGGAGACAACTGATTGGCGTTTCTCTCTCACATCAATACACACTCTCTCTCTCCATCCCTCCCTCCCTCCCTCCCTCCTTCCTTCCCTCTCTCTAAAATCAATATACATATCCTCAGGTGAGGATTTTTTAAAAATCATAGCAAGCATGGGGGAAAATACGTCCTACCTTGAATCCAACTGACTGAGCACAGATACTACCCCCAAATTAGATTATTTGTCCCACACTGGGTTCAGGTACCATGTGACCTGAACCAATTACAGGACTCCAAGGTAGGAAGAATGCCCTAATCAAGTAGTAATTTTTTTCCTTTGTTTTATAAAAATATATTTTCATTATAAATTGTTCATATAATTCAAAGCAATATAGTAAAAGTCTACGCGTTCCTCATAGGTATTTTTACTGTTAGTAGTATATATCTTTGTAGGATTTTTCTTCTTTATATAAAATTACAATTTTTTAAAAATAGTAACTAGATCATAGTGTACAGACTTCAACTTTTTAAAATTTAACCAAATGTCTTAAATATCTTCCCACATCAATAGACATCTTTTTACTAGAAAGCATAGTAATCATTGTATGAAATTGCCATAATTTATTTATCCAAACATCTGTTGACACTCTGCTACTATTTTTTCATCATTAAAAATACTGCACCGAACAACCATATATATGTTTGTGTCTTAGTAAACATAAATATATACACACCCTGACACCCCTTTGTGCCCTCATGCTAGTATTCCTGTATAAATTGCTTTGCACAGCTATACTTTGGGGTCAAAAACATATGCACATGTAAAAATTTTCATATTATCGAACTGTTGTTCAAAATAAAATTACTGATTTATACCATCAGTGGTTTTCTGGGCAGCCACTAACTATGAGGTGGCAGTAGTAGTGAAGATAAGGCCCCTAGCCCTCAATGACACACACCCCCTTTATTTCTACAACTTGAATGGCTGAACTTCTACCTTTTTTAAAATATTGGACTTCTGCTAAAGGTTTATTTGAAGAAAGGATTCTAAGGCGAAAACAAGTTTTAACAAACCCCTTTCTAAGCAAAGTCTCTGGAACTGGAGATAATTCAGTGGTAGTGCTTGGGAAATTTCCAAACAGCCCAGTTTGGAATGTTTGTTCCCACTTTCAAAATAGATTTCAAACCAATCCAGGTTAGGAAGAGCTTCAAATTCCACTTAGCTTCCTTCAGAGTATTTAGGGAAAGAATATCTTCGTTAAAGTAATATCCTTTTTATTCTCAGTTTGAAGATAGTGATGCTTTCTCCATAAGCTTTCCTTCAGTAGTGGATACATACAAGACTGACTCTAATAGACTTAATGGCAGTGGCAAAGGAAATTAGCAAAGCATTGGAAAATACCTTACCTAATTTATCTTATTTTCCTTTTTTCAATGAGGATTTGCAACAATACTTCTGAAGGCATTGTCTTTCTCTTCCCTTATCCTTCTCCAAATAACTGTTTACTGCTGCTGTTACTGACAAGCCTTTTAGGAAATCAATCCCACAAGCTCAGCAGGTGGGAAGTTAATATGACACGATCCACTGGGTCCTAGAATACCTGCAGTGTTGCCAGTAAGACAATAATGCTCCACTTACCTGAGATTCACATGTTAAATTCAATTATGAACAAAGAAAAAGTAGAAAAAAATATTAAATAAGGCCTAAGCCTTAAAGGTCTTATATTCCCCTTAGAGAAGAAATCCTCCTAAAATTGTAAATCTTAAGCATTTTAGTTTCCCAGCATGCATCAGCCAAGGCTCTTTAGTTTCAAATATCATACTTTTAACTTGGACTAGCTTAGATATAAAGGGGAACTTACTGGCTTACATATTGAATTATGGAAGAAGGGCAGAAGTACAGCTTCAGCCCAGGGATAATTGGAATCACAGCTTTCTCTGCATCGTAGGTTAGAAACGTGGCCTACAGTAGCTCTCAGGCTCGTATCATTTCAGTTTCATCAACCAGGAAAAATTATCCTTGTCCTTAATTTCAATTCAGGAAATCCCAGGGAAGGGATCTGAGTGGCTCATCTTGAGTCAGGCACCACCCTTTGACCCAGATCACGGTTGCCAAGGAAGTGAGAGCTGTAAGATAATGGCAGTTTCCATTTAATTTATACAGTTAATGTGGCAGATTCTGTTATGGGCAGAGGAATAATAAAATCTAACACAGAGTACTTAAGATGTACCAGCTGTATGCTCACCTGTGCATTTCATATATCTAAAGGAAGTGTCCTAGAGAGGCCATAGAAGATGAAAAATTTGAAAGCAATTTGGGGATGGCACATGATAGCAATAAGAGTTGGCAACAGAAATAAAAGAGAAACTTAAATGCAGTAACCATGGTGTTATGTTTTCTAAGTAAAGAATGAAATAACTCTTTCCTCACAGTCATATGCTCATTAGTAGTCTAAGATAATTTATCAGCCATTTGGGTTAGCAAAAAATATAATCACCTAGGCCCTGGTAGCTCAGTTGCTTAGTGTCATCCCCAGGTTCGATCCCAGGTCAGCGTACATACAACAAGCAACCAATGAATGCACAAATAAGTAGAACAACACATCAATGTTTCTCCCTCTCTCTCCCCCTCCCTCCCTCCTTCCCTTCCTCTAACCACCTAGACAGCATTATATGGCCCCAAAAATAACAAATCAGATTGAGTCCTTCAGGTGACAAGGGATAAGTAAGGACAATACCATCGTTTTTTAAAAACAACAACTTTGGAGTCAGGTTCACATAGTGTTGAGTCCTGGTTCAATACAGCTTTGGGCTTATTGTCTCATCTGTACAATAGGAATAATATCACGAACCTCATAGGGTTTTAATTATGGTTAAGGAAGGTAATGTATGTAATTGGACACTGCCTGAAACATGGTAAATAGTAGCATAATCAAATGGGAGAATGTGTAGTTAACCAAGACAAAAAACTAGTATTATACTTTGTCCTCAAATGTTCTCATTCCCTACATGTCTTAAAGAGACCTAAACCCATTTCTTAAAATTAAGGAAATGATCTTATCATTAACCAAGTTTTATTAAGTGGCATTAAATGGGATAATATATAATTAAATTTATACATTAAAATTAGGATAGCTGTACTATGAAAGTCTGTTTCTTGTGTCTTTAGTCAAAGAAATTTGCCCTTCATCTCAGATTCTCTATTTTAAAATTCATGGCTGTTTAAAAATTATAAAGAAGAAAATTAAAATCATTCATGATCCCACCAATTAGAAGTAATCATTACTGACATGTTATTGTATTTTATTTAGTCTTTTATGCTATAAGTACATGTCATTTTTAATGGCTGTATAATAGGCCATCTGATGTCATAAATTACTTGTTATAATATAGTTAGGTTATTTCCCTTTTTTTTCTATGTAAATAATGATGTAATAAATATATTTGTGCATAGGGTGGGGGCGTCATGGCTGTTTAAACAAACTAGAAACTAGGGAGTCCTTAAAGCCTCATGCAGATTGATCTTCTTAAGGAGAACAGAAAGGATTTCTGTCCAGAATGATGTAACAAAGAGCAGGTGGTATATTAACTGGTAAAGAAGTCTGATGCTTGCTCTGCCATTTCTTCTACCTCACTGAGATTTGTTAAGGTGTTTTCAGTCTCTCTCTCACCCCCCGCCACATCCCACCCTGCTTCCTTTCTTCCCCTCTCTGTTTAAAGCATGCCCACACCTTTTCCCCTCTTGTTTCCTAAAGGCATGTACCCTTGCTTTCTCCTAAGCTCCAAGGGCCCTCCTTTTGCTTCTGTAACTTGTTTCCTGAGCCCACATAGCCCATTTGGCTCACTGTTTCTACCTATGTGACTTTCTAAATAAACTTTCGCTTGTATTTTTAAAAAATAAAGGATTTTCATTAAAATTTAATTTTTATTTATAGTTTTTAATATACATTTAATAGTTATGAGAAAATTATTTTTAAAGGTATTGAAAAGGCAAATAAAATTTTCTTCTCATGGATGTTATAGGTGAAATAGTTTATCACTTACTATAAGATCTGAAATTAGAGGTTACAATGCTAATGTTAATAATGACTTTAAACAGATTGTAGATTCTGACATATGACCTACATTTTTAAATTACTGTCATCCTTACTGGGTTTAAAATACAGGAAGCTTTTAAGAAAAATTGGTATCAATCCTGCCCCCAAAAGACATCCTTTATCTTTAGCTTAACTTTCTAGGGAATGAAAAACCTGGGATTGCCCTGACCAGCATGGCTCAGTGGATTGGGCATCATCCCACAAAGTGAAAGGTTGCCAGTTCGATTCCCCGTCAGGGCACATACCTGGGTTTGGGGCCAGGTCCCTGGTTGGGGGCATGATCAGTTGTTTCTTGCATATTGATGTTTCTCTTCCTCTCTTTCTCCTTCCCTTCCCCTCTGTCTAAAAATAAATAAATAGAATCTTTTTTCAAAAAACCTGAGATAGAAAATTGTTTGGATTCCCTTTGCTTTTTGTTCTTCATTTAAATTGAAAATGACATTATTCTGTTTCTGTCTGCAAAATAATCACAAATGCATGACCTATAACATGGTTTCTTCTGTTCACAGCCTCTGTGTTTACTTGCCTGGCAATAGCCTTGGGATTTTATAGAATCTGGAAATAACAGTGAAATGACTATATTATGCTTCCACTGCTGCTGCTATTGACTTCTTAAAACACTGTACCAGGATCGATTTACTCTGAACATTGAAAGTTGCAGCAAGACTCTACAACAAGATTGTTCAAAGTACATAGGGACTAAAAAGAAATGTTTTAGAAAAAGATGTATTTTGTCTTTGTTTTTATGTCTTTATTTTATTATGTTGAAAAGCTGCCATTCAGAACATGATTAATTTGAGATAGAAGGGTCTTTTGTCTTTATTCTTTGATAGTTCATAGAAACTGAACCAGAGTTTTCTTGTGTTTGCTTGAACAATTGTGTAAATCATATAGGATTTCTTTGGTTATCTTCTTCCTATATATTTTGTCATTCAACTTTGCTGATAACTATTATACTATTGCCTTTTCATATAAAATAAAATGTTGTAAGACAGTTGTTTGGATTTTAAAAGTGACTTACCATACAGCGGCAAATGGTTTGGAGGGGTTTTTTTTTTGGTAATGAACAATTATAAACAGTAAATTTAAAATCTTAAAATGTGTGCTCTAGTGCCAGTGTATGACACTTAATATGAAAGCTGTAGAGTTGCTAAATCTTGAGCCCTGATTATTACTAAAATATACTATTTTAATTTTTTGATTCACAAAAACCAGTTTGTCCCTGCTTCATATTTATTGCATAAAATAAAGCTTTTTCTTATGATACTTAAATTCAGCAAATGTCTACTGATATATAACGCCTGCTCTCAAGAAACTCGTATTTCTGTTTTATTGCTATTGGGTCACCTCTATATTTTTCCTTATATAATAGTATTTATTAATACTATACATGTAATTTCAAGGAAAGTACAAAATATTTTCAACTTAGACCTGCAGTTTTATCCAGGTCGAGAAGGCAAGGCCAGGAAGTGCTAAACATTTCAAAAGATTTCATAATGCCTTGGCAATAGCTTTACAAGTTCAATAACCCATTATTTATTCAGTATATTAAAAAGAACTCCATCATTTGTTTAGTTATAAATAGGGAATTTGAAGAATAGAGCAGTCAGACTGGCCCATATGGTCCAGTGAGTGAGAATCATAGGCTTTCCAACTAAATTTTCTTCTAACTGCTGGTTGTTTTCAAAACAAAACTATTTTAATATCTTGTTATGTTCTGATTCATTTCTATCTCAGAATCTGCTTGCCAAAGAAAATTCTTGGCACACTGTAGATAAATTTTTATTGGATTCATAAATACGGACCAAAGGTTCCATTGTAACAAACTCTACAATGTGTTTGTTCACTGAATAAATGAGAATGGCAGACAACAAAGTGCTGGTCCTCATGTGCACAAAGGTGCACACAGTTTCGTTCTCATGGAACTGACATTCTTAGTGGAGAAGATAGACAGTAAACAAGTAAATGATTGGACTGTTACAATTTAAAGTATAATAAAATATTGAGAGGGTATACTTCTTTCCTCCATGTGAAAGAAACTCCAGTAGCATAACATTACTGCCATCCCTCTCCCTCCCCTCACCTACCCTGCTGCTGGTAAAGGAAAGTGAAAGGAGCAACAGGGCCCAAGTGGCCCAGCCACTTCCTCCCCCTACTCCTGTTTGGGACCAGCCTGTTTACACAGAGCGTTCATTCTGTTCTGCTCCTGTGGGATCAGGCTCAGCCTCTGCGGGCTGAAGCCCACCCCAGTACAGTATGCTTGGGGCAGGGTGAATAAGTTTGTCCAACTCTGAGGTTCAGTGATAGGGAACTTACTGAAGCTATAAACACATTCTCCAATATCAGCTTTATCAGTAAATAAAAGCACTATTTTGGACTCCATATCAATTCATTTGTTCTTCATCTTAATTAGGTTCACAACCCAGATGGGATGGAGAAGTGCCATTTATTGGATCTCATTCAACCTCCAACAAATAAAGATGCACATTCCCAGTTCATAGCCATTAATGATAAAATAGATCTATTCCATCTTTAGGGATTTAGCAAGTGAAGTACTTTGTATCCAATAATAGAAGAATAGAAGTATACGCACCATACCCAATTCCCATTACTTCTAGATCCTGTATCTTAGGGAGACCACTTTGCTATGAGTTTAGATAGATTTTTGTTTAGGGAACGTAAATATCTAAAAAGACAAAAAATGTTAGACAAAATAGATTGTTACACCTCTATTCCAGCACTTACACCCTACTCTAAAATAGCTATTGTTGTATACATCTGTTTCTTATAAGTGAGTTCCCACAAGGCCTCTAAGCTTATATGAGGTACTTCGTAAATTCACGTGGAATAATAAATGGTGTGACTAGATCTCAATCTAAACTTTTACTATTTTAAATATTTTATTATGGGTATGGTGAGAATGTTCCATTCCTAGAGTTTCTGGGAACACTAAAACTTTTCAGCGTTTTCTGAGGTGGTAAGTCTCTGGAAGGATTAGTTACCCTCACCTTGTATATGGCCTAGACTAGATCCTAACTTGCCCATTCATACTATTTGGTGACAGTAGACCAGGTAAGATAATATAAGGACTACTCAAAAGTCAGTAAAAACCCTTCACCATACTTAAAAAACACCTTAAAAGTTTATAACGCCCATTTTATCAATCTTTAAAAATTTAGATAGGTAATGTCTTAAGTTTTAAAGTTTTAAATATTTACAAGTTTTAAGTACTTTTTAATATAAAGAAAAAATGAGGCAGTGGAGAAGGCTATGGGTCACCAACACTGAAATTAGTGGTTGTCATTTTGTAGACCAGTGACCATACAACAGTGAATATGCTAAAAGAAAATATATATAACTCACCTATTTTTCACAGCAATCCTCTTAGGTAGGTAGTAGTATCCTCATTTTACAGATAAAGAAATAAGCTAAGCAAAGTTAAGTAACTTACCAAGGTCATACAGCAGATAAGTGACAGAGACTTAAACTCCAAATCTCATATTCTTACTCAATACCCTAGTGACCTCCAAGTTGATCCTCTATCTCAAGAGATAGACAAACAATCTACTGAGGCATGGGGGAAAAAATATTAGAGTTTCTACATACATACTTTTAACATCTTTTTTACTTTATTTTTGAGTTTCATTAATATAATGTAGCATAATGAATATATGAGGGGGGACCAAAAAGAACCTGGAATATCTTCTAGAGGGTGGCCCCTTGTAGTACAGGCTTCCCCCCATCAGGTGAGTGTGAACCAGCTGGCATTGTTGTGAGATGCTGTGTTTGGCTTTGTGGAATTGTTTTGGAAGACTTTCAAGGTGTTTGCCAATTTCATGATGGGTGATTTATAAGCACACCCACCCACACTGTGCTCAATGTTTTGGACCAAAAACGGCATGACCCCTGTGTCCCACTCTCCCCGTTCACCCCATCTCACCCTGGAGTGACATTTTTTGTTTCCTGGGATGAAAACAGTCCTCAAAGGAAAACATTTGCAGATGGGGAAGAGGTGAAACAAAAAACAGCAAAAGCACTAAAAGGCATCAAAATTAACAAGTTCAAAAATTGCTTTGAGCAGTAGAAAAAATGTCTTGATAGGTGTATTGCATCAAATGGAGAGTACTTTGAAGGTAACTGAAGTTTAAACGTGAGAATACACAATTTTTTTATAAATAAATTCCATTTTTTGAGGCCCCTCCCCTTGTGTATGTGGGGTTTGTCCCCAGTTCTTGGCATAAGCAAAATACCTTGTTATTATGAATGACAGAGCTGATGAGGAGCTTTTGTTTTCCTGGCACACAGCTCCTAAAATCCCTGGATTCTTCAGAGTGTCTTTTTTATGCTGCAGTGACTGGTAGCTAGGAGCCCCTACATAGCTTCAGAGTGGGGTCTGGTTGGCAGAAAGATCAAGGCATGACAAGAGAGTTGAAATTCTTAGCCTCCCCACTCTCTACCTCAACCTTCAGGGAGGGGAAAGGAAAGGAGAGGAGCTGGGGATTGAGTTCAATCACCAATTTCCACCCCAGTGCACACAACAAGGTGCTGGGAGGGTGAAATACCCAGAGAGGGTATGGAAGCTCCACGCACCTTTCACCCCATACCTTGCCGTATGCACCTTTCATTTAGCTGTTCCTGAGATATATATCCTTTTTAATAAACTGGTAATAGTAAGTGAAGTGTTCTCCTGAGTTCTGGAAGTCATTCTAGCAAATTATTGAAGCCGAGGAGGGTGAAAGGGTAACCTCCAGATCAATGGCAATTAGAAGTATCCATGACAACCAGGGACTTACAAATGTCTGAAGTGCAAGCAGTTTTGTGAGACTGAGTATGTAACTTGGGAATTTGATGCTAAACCCTGGGTAGTTGATATCCAAATTGAGTTGCTGAACACAGAATTAGTGTCCAGAAAAATCAGAATTAGTTGTTAATGTTGGAAAACACCACCCATAGCATGATGATAATATATTTTCATGATTTATAATCAAATACACATAATTTGGGGGCTGTATTACAATTTAGGCTTAGCTGCTACAATAAATTCAAAATAACAGTGGCTTAAATAATATAGTGGTTTATTTCTCTCTTACCTATGCCATCCAAGTGCAAGCATTCCAGGGCTAGTATGTCAGCTATATGTGTCGGGCTCCTACTTCCCTGACTCCCTGCTGTGGCCCTCATCCGCCAGGTCCATGGCTTACCTTGACAGCCACATTCCAGAAGAAGAAATGGGCAAGAGGTGGGCAAACCATTTCTCTTTAGAGGCATGACCCTAAGGTTATACACACCGTTTTTGCTCACACTCTATTGGCCACAACTTGGTATCTTAGATACAAAAAAGGCTGGAAGGTAAGTCTTTATCCTGAGCAGCCACAGCCCAAGTAAATCCTAATATTATAGAAAAAAGGGAGGATATTGGGGAACAGTCAGGGAACCTGTGCCACAAGGGTGCATACTTCTATCACGACACTCTTCTATTTCCTATTTCCCTTGTACAGGGAAAGACTAGAGACATAGCCTTAAGAAAACTGGAGCAAGTATAACAGACTATTTCCAACATTGAGTTTAACATTAGGGACATCAGGCTAGAAGGGAAAAGTAAGGCTACGTGTCCCAGACGGTGAGAGAGAGAGAGATTTGGGAATCCCAGTAGTGGTGAAGAAGAATGCAGACTCTGAGCTTTCCCTGCTAAGATGAGAATCCTGGCTCCATATTGCTATGTGATTCCGGGTAAATTATTTTTAACCCCCATGTATAAAATATATTTATTGTAGCTGTTGTGAGAATCGAGAGAATATCCCTAAAGGACTTCACACAGACCTCACACCTAGTAAGTGCCCAATAAATGTTGACAACTATTATTACTGCAAATTGAACGCCTATTGGAAACTGCAGAAAAAGTAACAATAATGACTATAAAGGTTATTAGAAAAGTTTTATTACTTACTTAAAGACCTTTGACCAGCTCTGCACTGGTCGTAGCAATCACATGCACTCCTGTCAGGTCATACTGGCCCGGTGACACCAGGTCCAAATAGCCTTTAGTGTCCACGTAAGGTACATGCCCGGGACTAAAAGGTGGACAGTCTGATGTACAGCAAGAAGCGGCTGCCAGTGAAGCCCAAAGCTAGCGATCAGATCTTCAGGGGGAGGCAGTATGTAAACAATTGCCCCGGGAGAGTGACAAATCTTTGCT